TTTTCAAAAAAATGTAAAACGATTTTTTTTTTTAAAATAATTTCGAAAGGATGATAATAATAATGATATTCCAAAGGGAGGGAGTTTTTTTTGAGGGGGGAGTGAGTGGGGAGGGGGGTGAAAAAAGTAAACAGAAAAATAAGAAATATTTCACGAATTATTTTAATAATTAAAAAAATTTTTTTTTTTTTTTTGGGCGGAAAATTTACTTAACGCGTTTTGCGTGGTTTTAACAAAACGGTGTCTGCTGTCCCAATTCTTAATTTTTTTTTAAATTCTAATCATTATCGTTTAACGTTTTATCATAAACGTTGCCAACAACAACAACAAAAAAAAAAATTTTTTTTTTATAATACATACTTTTTTTTTTTTAAAAAAAAAAAAAAAAAACCTACGCATTTTTATTTTATTTTATATTTTAAAATCCATGATTTAATCACTTACCGGAAACGGAAGACAGCTTTTGGAGCTTTTATACTTTTACCTTCCTCGCTTTAATATATTTTATATAATTTTTTTTTTTTTGTGCACAAAAAAAATATATATATATAAACTCCGAAAACCTTTTTTTTTTTTTTTAATGGGGAACCCGTGAGGAGAAAGGGCACAAAGTCGGAGAGTAAAAGCAAAAGCGGAACCGGAAGCAGAATGAGAAAAACGGGAAAACATTTTTTTTTACGTTTAATAATGAATCATTTAAAAAAAAAAAAAAATTTTTTTTTTTAATTAAAAAATAAAAAAAAATATTTTTACATAATAATAATAATAGTAATAATAATAATAATAAGTGTTTTTGTTGTTTCGAATCGTCGTTCGTTTGTTTGTTGGTTTGTACGTAAAAAAATAAAAATTTTTTTTTAAAGTTGTTAATAATGTTTTTTTCGCATGCTTGCAAAAAAAAAAAAACTTTTTTTCTTATTTTTTTTTTTTAAACAAGTGATCCGTATTTCCGGTTGAAAATTTATTTTACTTTTTATCCGGTTCTTAATTGATTTCCGGTAGTTTTTTCCTATTTTTAAATGGAAATGAAAAAAATTTATAAAACGTTTTTAACGGTTTTTTGTTTTTTTGTTAAATTGATAGCTTCCAGTTAGTTATTTATTAAAATTAAAATTTTTATTTTATTTACAATTTTACGTTTAAGGTTTTCTATTCACAC